CTATTTTTAAATAGAACCAGGACACTGGAATATAATGGAAAAAGACAGGCAATGGAATAGCTAAGATGGTGCACCTGGTATCAGGCAAACCTGGGTCTTCATCTCAGCTATCATTTGCTGTCTGTGTGACCTTAATCAAGTTACTTAACCTCTGATCCCTAGTTTCCTCATCTGTCAAAGAGAATAATAATGGTACTACCTCCAGGATCATTGTGAAGATTAACTGGAGTGATGCACGCAAAGTACTTAGAACAGTATCTGGCACTTAGTAGGTGCTTTGTCAGTGATAAGAGAGAAATTTCCAAATCAAAATATTGGGACATAGAAAAACACATGTCCTTTTGAAGATTCAGGAGGATAGAAGGTTTGAAATTGGGACTTTCCTAGAAAATTCAGTTTCTGTGCCTAAGAGGTAGCTTTCATTCTGCTCTTTGCCAGCTAGTTCTGAAAAGTCTACCCAATGGCTTAACCAAGTGCAAATTTACCTCTTATTGGAGGAAAAAGCAAGACTCACAGACACTAGGGTCTTGCAGGAAGCTCAGAGTGTAACTAATACATTCAACCTCCTCCTTACTTTCATGCATAGCCACCCAAAAGATCCAGAAGCTCAGAAAAATAAAGTATATTGCTTAGTTACACATTAATTTTGGTAGTGGAGGGTTGGTTTATACCTCTTGATCTTCTTCCTGAATCTTTTTAAATAAAAGATTAGAAAAAATGTGTGCAGCACAAAACAATTTTTAAAAGGCCACAAATCTAGGACTCTTAAGCTATTATCGCAGTGTCTCAACTTTAGAACTATTGACATATTTGCCCAGATAACTCTTTGTTGTGGGGACTTCCTTGTGCATTGTAAGATGTTTAGCAGCATCCCTGGCCTCTACCCTCTAGATGCCAGTAGCAAAAATGTTTCCAGACTGCCAAATGCCCCATGCAGCAGGGGGCAGGTGGCCAGTAGCAAAATCACCTCAGGTTGAGAACCATTGCTGAATAGGAAGAGCACTCTAAATACAGCTTCCTCCTTGGCCATCTTCAGAACTATTAACTATGATAGTTCTGAGAAGTCTAGTGGTGATATGATCTAAAAGCATGGTTGATGGCTGCCAAGTGGATATTTCTAGCTTTGGCCTCTCCTACCCACTCCTGTTTCATAAATCCACTGCCTACCGGACATCTTTCTTGCACATTTAATAGGCAGCTCAGACAGCATGTTGAACACCAAACTCATGATTCTTGACTCTGCCTGTTTCCCATCTTATTCTTGCTCATATTCATTCATTCATTCTTACATTATACAATATTGCATACCTAATGCATCAATTCCCTGTGGTTGTGGTATCACAAACTTGCTAAGGCTTAAAAAAATAACAGAAATTTATTATCATATGGTTCTGCAGGCCAGAAGTCCCAAATCAAGGTGTCAGTAGGACTGTGCTCTCTTCAAAGGCTATAGGAGAGAGTCTTTACTTGCTTCTTCCAATTTATAGTGGTTCCAGGCATTTCTTGGCTTGTGGCTGTGTCACTCAAGTCTCTGTCTTTGTTGTCACATGGCCTTCTCTTTTCCCTCTTTTCTCTTATAAGGACACTTAAAATTGGATTTAGGCACTGGCCGGTTTGGCTCAGTGGTTAGAGCATCCGCCTGCGGTCCGGAGAGACCCGGGTTCGGTTCCGGCTAAGGGCATGTACCTCGGTTGCAGTTTGTCCCCGGCCCTGGTTGGTCGTGTGGGTGGCAGCCACTTGATGTGTCCCTTTCACATCGATGTTTCCCTCTCCTTCCCACTCTATCTGTACAAAAAATGGAAAAATGTCCTCGGGTGAGGATAAAAAAAAAAAAAATTGGATTTAGGCACGCCCAAGTAATTCATATGACATCATCTCAATATTCTTATCTTTTTTTAAAAAAATTATCTTTACTGTTGAAAGTATTACAGATGCCCCACCTTTTTACCACTGCTCTTGCTTCCCTCCTTCACTGCACTGTTGTCCATGTCCATTGGTTATGCATACATGCATATAAGTTCTTTGGTTTATCTCTTCCCACCTTCACTCATCCTCCTTCCTTCTGAGGTTTGTCAGTCTGTTCTCTACTTCCACATCTCTAGATCTATTTTTTTATACTTATTTTGTTCATTATATTCCAAAAATAAGTAAGATCATGTGGTACTTGATTTTCTTTCATTGGTTTATTTCACTTAGCATAACACTCTCAAGTCTCTCCATTTTGTCTGAAAAGATAAAAAGTCATTTTTTCTTACAGTACAGAGTATTTCATTGTGTAAATATACCGCAGCATTTTCATCCATTAAACTACTGATGGACACTTGGGTAATAATAGCCATTTTAACAGGTGTAAGGTGGTATGTCATTGCAGTTTTCTTTTCTTTCCTTTTTTAAATTTATTCTTGTTACAGATATTTCTCCTATTCCCCCCAGACAACCTTCTCCCTATCCCGCTCCTCCCCCCAAGCATTGTTGTCTATGTCAATTGGTTACACATATATGCATATAAGTTCTTTGGATTATCTCATCCCTCCCCCACAACCTCCTACTTGGAAGTTTGTCAGTCTGAACCATATTCTTTTCTATGTCTCTGGGTCTATTTTGTTCAGCAGTTGTTGTTGTTCTTTTTTGGTCATTATATTCCACAGATAAGTGAGATAATGTGATATTTGTCTTACTCTGATTTGTCTTGTTTCACTTAGAATAATATTCTGAAGGTCCCTCCATGTTGTCTCAAAGAGTAAGATATTTTTATTTCAGCTGCATAGTATTCCATTATGTATATGTACCACAGTTTTTTTCATCCGCTCATCTATTGATAGACACATGGGCTGTTTCCAGACCTTAGCAATGGTAAATAGTGCTGCTGTAAATATGTACAATGGTAAATAGTACATATATACTTTCGGATTGGTGTTTCAGGCTTCTTAGGGTATAAACCTAGAAGTTTTATCACTGGGTCAAATGGCAGTTCAATTTTTAATTTTTTGAGTAAACACCATATTGTTTAACACAGTGGCTGCATCAGTCTGCATTCTTACCAGAAGTGTACTAGAGTCCCCTTTTCTCCACACCCTCACCAACACTTGTTGTTTGATGATTTGTTGATGGCAGCCATTCTGGCAGATGTGTGGTGATACTTCATAGTTGTTTTAATTTACATCTCTCTGATGATTACTGACATTGAGCTTTTATATATATATATATGTCTCTTGGCCATTTGTATGTCCTGTTTGGAGAGGTGTCTATTTAGGTCCTCTGCCCATTTATTAATTGGCTTCTGTGTCTTCCTTTTGTTGAGCTGTATGAGTACTCTATATATTTTGGAAACTAACCCCTTATCTGATATATCATTGGTAATTATGCTCTTCAATATAGTGGGTTCGCTTTCCATTTTGATGGTTGTTTCTTTTGCTGTGCAGAAGATTTTAGTTTGATGTCGTCCCATGTGTTCATGTTTTCCTTTGTTTCTTCCGACTTCGGTTTTGTATCAGTGAAAATTCTGCTGCGTGTGATACCTGAAATTTTGCTGCCTACATTTTTTTCTAGAATATTTTTGAATTTATGGGTCACATTTAAGTCTTTTATCAATTTTGGGTTTACTTTTGTATATGATGTAAGTTGGTGGTCTAGCTTTATTTTTTGGCATGTAGCTGTCCAATTATCTCAACACCGTTTATTGAAGAAGCTGTCTTTACTCCATTGTGTGCTACCTTTGCCAAATATTAATTCAGCATAATGACTTAGATCAATTTCTGGGTTCTCTGTTCTGTTTCATTGATCTATATACCTGTTCTTGTGCCAGTACTAGGCTGTTTTGATTACTATGGCTTTTTACTATAACCTGATATCTGCTATTGTGATCCCTCCCACTTTGTTCTTCTTTTTCAAGATTGCTGTGGCTATTGGAGGTCTTTTTTGGTTTTATATAAACTTTTGGAGTATTTATTCTAATTCTGTGAATTACATTGTTAATATTTTGATTGTGATTACATTGAATCTATAGATTGTTTGGGTAGTATGAACATTTCAATGTTAATTTTTCCTATCATGAACAAGGTATATGCTTCCACTTTTTATATCTTTCTTTATTTCTTTGTTCAGTGATCTGTAGTTTTCTGTGAATAGGTCCTTTACTTCTTTGGTTAAGTTTATTCCTAGCTATCAAATTCTTTTTCAGTATTCAAGATCCTTAACTTAGTTACATCTCCAAAGACCCTTTGTCTAAATATAGTCACAGTCACAGGTTGTTGAGGGTAGGACATGAACATATTGTTTTAGGGACCAACATTCAATCTACCAAACCTATTATGTACCAGGGATGTTATAGGCACTGGGGATGCAGTAGAAACCAAAACAAAGTCCCTGATCTAATGAAAATTATGTTATACTATATAAATATCAATAATAAATGAATAACTATTTAACATATAATGTCAGGATATAATTAACATAAGAATATAATAATGATACAATATTATGTTATATTATATTTATTATATTATATACAGTGGGGCAAAAGTAGGTTTACAGTAGTTTGTATGATAATATACCATTAGTTTGAGGGTAGAGATCAAGGGGGTGATATGTCCTGACTTGCATTTTGAGAATATTAGCCTGGCTGCTATGTGGAAAATTAAATACAATGGCAGGGCAAGTTTATAGGGTACAGGTGGTGATTCCAGCCAGTGGAAAGTGAGAGATGATATCATCACCCCTTTACTCGAGTGAAAATCTTGGGCCTCATTCTGGATTTCTCTCTTTCTCTTTCCCCCATATCTAATCCATTGGAAAACCATGTTGGCTTCATATTAATATTCAAAATACAAATTCTGACCACTTCTCACTCCCTCCACTACTACCATCATTGTCCATGCCACCATCATCTCTTACCTGGACCATGACAACAACCTCCTCACTGATCTGTCTGCTTTGACTCTTGCCTTTCTAGTCTACTTCCAACACAGCAGACAAATCAACCTCATAAAAGCCTAAGTCAGGTGCTCACCTCAGCAGAACATATACTAAAATTGGAATAAAAGAGAGAAGATTATCATGGCCCCTGTGCAAGGATGACACACAAATTTGTGAAACATTCCATATTTTTTAGACTTCCACTGATTTTTCAATAGAAACACCGAAGGCCAAAAGAGAGTGGCATAAAGTGTACAAAGTAAATAAAGGCAAAGGTCTGAATCCAAGACTACTCTATCTAGCAAAACTCTCACTCAAAATTGAAGGTAAAATAAAAAGCTTCACAGACAAAAAAAAAAGCTAAAATAATTTACCACCACCAAACCAGCACTGCAAGAAATGCTAAAGGGACTTCTGTAAGAAGAAGAAGAAATGGTGTGTGTGTGGGGGACACAAGCATAAAATAAAAGTGGCAACTAATAAGTATCAATCAATAATAACCTTAAATGTACATGGCTTAAATGCCCCAAATAAAACACATAGGGTAGCCGATTGGATAAGAAGACATGACCTGTATATATGATATCTACAAGAGACCCACCTCAAAAAAAGACTCACACAGGATGAAAGTGAAGACATAAAAAAAAAAAAATTCCAGGCAAATAGAAATGAAAAAGAAAAATCTGGTGTAGCAATATTCATATTTGATAAGCTAGACTTCAAAACGAAGGCCATAATAAGAGACGAAAAAGATCACTACATAATATTAAAAGGAATAATCCAAGAAGAGGATATAACCCTGATAAACATATATGCACCAAACACAAGAGCACCAAAATATATTTTAAAACTTCTGGAGAACTTCAAAAAGAGATCAATGGCAAAACAATCAGAGTGGGTGACGTTAACACCCCACTGACAACACTGGATTGATTTTTACACAAAAATTAACAAAGACATAAAGTCCTTAAATGACAAACTACATAAGCTGGACTTAATTGATATTTACAGAACATTTCACCCCAAAGCTTCAGAATATACATTCTTCTCAAGTACACACGGAACATTCTCAAAGATAGACCACAAGTCCAGACACAAAATAAGTCTCTAGAAATTCAAGAAGATAAAAACCATATCAAACATCTTCTCAGACCACAATGGCTTGAAACTAGAAATAAATTACAGCAAAAACATTCAAACACATGGAAGCTAAATAGCATGTTATGAAACAATGAATGGGTTACTAAGAAAATAAAGGAAGACATTAAAACTTCCTGGAAACCAATAAATGAAAATGAACACAAACAACACAAAATCTTTGTAACTCAGCAAATCAATCCTGAAAGGGAAGTTTATAGCACTATAGGACTACCTCAAGTAACTAGAAAAATTCCTCATTGGCTTTCTAATCCTACAACTCAAAGAACAAGAAAGTAAACAGAAAGAAAACCAAGAGCAAGAAGAAGAAAAGAAATAGTAAAGGTCAGAGCATAAATAAACAAAATAGAAAGAAAGAAACAAACAAACAAAAAACAATTAAAAAGATAAATGAAACAAAGACTTGGTTCTTTGAAAAAAACAAAAAACAGGAAGATTGATGGACCCTTAGCCAGGCTCACTAAGAAAGAAAAAGAGAAAAACCAAATAAACAAAATCAGAAATCATGAAGGATTATTAAAACATGCTACAAACAATATATACCAAAAAAACTGGACAATCTAGGCGAAATGGACAAATTTCTAGAAATACACAGTCTCCCAAAACTGAATTGAGAAATGTTAGAAAACTTGAACACACCAATAACAACTAATGAAATTGAAGATGTAATCAAGAAACTCCCCATGTCTGGCCAGTGTGGCTGTGGTTAAGCATCTACCTATGCAGCAAGAGGTCGCAGGTTCGATTCCCGGTCCGGACACATGCACAGGTTGTGGGCCCAGTCTTCAGTGAGAAGCAAGCAGAAGGTGACCAATCGATGTTCTCCCGCATAGATGTTCCTATCCCTATCTCCCGCTCACTTCCTCTTTCTCTATAATGAATTAAAAAAAAATTAAAAACAAACAAAAAGATAGAAACTTACCACAAACAAAATCCAATGCCAAGATGGCTTCATGGGAGAGATTTACTGAACATTCAAAGATCTAACATCCATTCTCAAACTATTCCAAATAATCCAAGAAAATGGACGACTCCCAAACTCATTTATGATGCCAATATAATTATAATTCCAAAACCAGATAAATACACTATAAAGAAAAAAAAGAAAAAAAAACTACAAGCCAATATCCTAAAGAACTTACATGCCAAAATCCTGAAGAAAATACTAGCAAATAAAATCTAGCAATACATCAGAAAAATTATTCACCATGACCAAGTGAGATTAATCCCAGGGATGCAAGGCAGGTACAATATTCACAAATCAATAAATATGATACTATATTTATTATATTGTTTTCATATAAACAAAATAAAAGATAAAAATCATATGATCATATCAATAGACACTGAAAAAGAATTCGACAAAATCCAGCACACATTTCTGATAAAAACGCTCAGCAATCTGGAAATAGAGGGATCATATCTCAACATAATAAAGGCCATATATGAAATACCTACAACCAACATCATACTCAATGGGCAAAAATTAAAACCATTTCCCTTAAGAACAAAAACAAGGCAAGGATGCCCAATTTGCCACTCTTATTTAACATAGTACTAGAATCTTAGCCACAGCCATCAGACAGAAGGACAAAATAAAAGGGATCCAAATGGGAAAGGAGAAAGTAAAACTGTAATTATTCGCAGATGACATGATACTATAAATAGAAAACCCCAAAGACTCCATCAAAAATTTACTAGCCTTAATAAATGAATTTGGCAAAGTAGCAAGATACAAAATTAAGATTAAGAAATCTATGGCATTCTTATACACAAATGATGAACTCACAGAAATAAAACCTTAAAAAATCCGATTTAACATCACAGCAAAAATATTAATATACCTAGGAATAAACTGAACCAAAGAAAAAACGACCTATTCACAAAAAAATACAGGTCATTGAAAAAAGAAATAGAGGAAGATATAAAAAGAGTGGAATCGCCCTGGCCGGTATGGCTCAGCGGTTGGAGCGTCGTCCTGCGGTCTAGAGAGACCCGGGTTCGGTTCCCGCTAAGGGCATGTACCTTGGTTGCAGTTTGTCCCCAGCCCTGGTTAGTTGTGCAGCTGGCAGCCACTCAATGTGTCCCTTTCATGTCGATGTTTCTTTCTCTCTCTCTCTCTTCCTCTCTCTCCCTCCCACTCTATCTGTACAAAAAAAGGGAAAAATGTCGTCAGGTGAGGATAAAAGAAAAAGTGGAATCACATACCTTGTTCATGCATTGGAAGAATCAACATCATTAAAAAGCCGAAGTGTCCATCAGTAGACGAAAGGATAAAAAAGCTGTGGTACATATACACAATGGAGTACTACACAGCTGAAAGAAAGAAAGATCTCTTATCCTTTGAGATTACATGGAGGGACCTGGAAAGTATCATCCTAAGTGAAACAAGCCAAACAGAAAGACAAGCTTCATATGATCTCACTTATTTGTGGAATATAATGAACATAACAGTGTGAGGAATGGGGTAGTCCCAGAGATGTGGAAGTGGGGTACAGACTGACAACCCCCAGAAGAGTGGGTGCTGCGGGAGAGATAAACCACAGAACTTATATGCATGTATGCTTGAACAGTGGACATGGACAACAAACTGGGGAAAGGGCAGGGAGAAAAGGGGAGGGGGGAATCAGTGGGGGGGAAAGGAGAAACATCTGTAACAAAAATTAATTAATAAAAATAAATAAATAAAAACAAACAAACAAACAAAAAAGTACATACTACCCAAAGCAATCTATAGATTCAATGCAATACCCGTCAAAATACCAATGACATACTTCACAGAACTAGAATATTCAAAAGTTCATGTGGAACCAAAAAAGACCTTGACTAGCCATAGCAATCTTAAAAAAAGAAGAACAAAGTTGGAGGGATCACATTACCAGATTTCAGGTTATACTACAAAGCCACTGTAATCAAAACAGCCTGGTACTGGCACAAGAATGGGTATATAGACCAGTGGAACAGAACAGAGAACCCGAAAATGGACCCAAGGCAATATGCTCAATTAATATTTGACAAAAGTGGCAAGAGCATACAGTAGACTGAAAAAGCTCTTTAATAAATGGTGTTGGGAAAATTGGAAAGCTACATGCAAAAAAATAAAATAAAACTAGACCATCAACTTACACCATACCCAAGAATAAACTCAAAATGGATAAAAGCCTTAAATGTGACTCATGAATCCATAAAAATCCTAGAAGAAAATGTAGGCAACAAAATTTCAGACATTATAAGCAGCCGAATTTTCTAGGATACATCAACCTAAGACAACAGAAACAAAGGAATAAATGAACACATGGGACTACATCGAACTAAAAAGCCTATGCACAGCAAAAGATACAATCATCAAAACGGAAAGGCATCCCACTGTATGGGAGAGCATAATTGCCAATGATATATGAGATAAGTGGTTAATTTCCAATATATAGAGAGTGCTCATACAACTCAACAAAAGGAAGACAAAAAAAAAACCCCAATTAAATAATGGGCAGAGGAACTAAATAGATACCTCTCCAAACAGGACATACAAATGGCTAAAAGACATATGAAGAAATGCCCAACACTAATCATCAAAGAGATGCAAATTAAAACAAGGAAGAAGTACCACCTGACACCTGTCAGAATGGCCGCCATCAACAAATCAGCAAACAACAAGTGTTAGCAAGGGTGTAGAGAAAAGGAGACTCTAGTACACTGCTGGTGGGAATGCAGACTGGTGCAGCCACTATGGAAAACAATATGGTGTTATCTCAAAAAATTAAAAATTGAACTTTCATTTGACCCAGTGATCCCACTTCTAGAATATACCCTAAGAATCCTGAAACAACAATCAGAAAGAATATATGAAACCCCATGTTTGTAGCAGCAGTATTTACAATAGCTAAGATCTGGAAATAGCCCAAATGTCTACCAGAAGACAAACGGTAAAAAAGCAGTGGTACATATCCACAATGGAGTACTATGCAGCTGTAAGAAAGACAGATCTCTTATTTTTTTAGATGACATAGAGGGACCTGTAAAGTATTATCCTAAGCA